AAAGGACCAACGGCGCCTCCTACCTGCCAGGTGGGACAGTCCGGAGTTTACCCGGTTACAGGCGTCGCCTCATTGTGCCGCCATTGGTACTGCCGCCGCCATTTCACCTTGGTCGCCTCCTCCTCCGCCTCCTCTCAACTGTCAGGTTCCTCCATTTACCTGGGGTCGGCTGCGACAAGCTTCCTCCCCGCCCCTGCCTACGCAAAAAAAGGGTTCCACCCCCGCTTTCGTCGAGCAGGCCCAATTCCGCGCCGTTGGCGCGAAACAGTCTGAAAAGTCAGAGTCTCTGGCTTGTCCAACAGCACGTCCCAGCTCGCGGCACCCACGCGACTAACTCACCTAGCATCACGGCGTGCGTCTCGCTCTCCCTCTCACCGCGTGTCCTTTTCTCCCCAGACCGCCTCCTCACCGTTTGCTCAATAAATAGAAGAACCAGCGCGATTGGAGAGGAAAGCCGGGTTAGAGGTCAAAGGTGGAGATGTTAGCCAATCGGAATGCCGGAGACAGCCAACGGTTTGGAAAGCTGCCGGGAGAAGGAGGAGGAGTTTGCAAGAGAAATTCACGTGCGCGGATGGCCGGAGTTTAGTTCCTGAAGTGCTTTCTAGACCTTCTTTATTGCAGAAGTCAGAAAGTTTATATTCTCAGGCTCTATTCGCGCCAACTGTGTAGAGTTGGGTCTTCTCGACGAAGGCGAGGTGGTGCCCGTCAAATGTATGAATCTGCAGCCTTTCTACATGTAACTCGTGATCACAAAGTGCTACAAAAAAAGCTCATGCATTATTTTAAGAAGCAAAATTTGGGTATCCTTATTTATTAGAAATGAATAAAATTAACAGTGTATTTATGTACTCATTATTCTTTCAGGGTAAGCAACAACATACGGAACATGGAAAAACAACAAATAAGCCAAAGAAATAGATAAGAAAGATACTTGAATTTAAGCGTCTATGGAGATTATCAGTCATCCAGATCATGATGGTCCCAAAGGTGCTTTTCTAAAAGGCAATGTTAAATCGCTTTGAGAGCTTACTCAGTTGAAAAATGATTGATGTATGTACAAAATTAAGCTCCCTTTTTCTTAGGGAAAAGAATATCCTAATATTTTTCTGTGTCCAAAAATAGAAAAGGAAACCAGAATATAGAAGAAAATGCACTTTCATTACATAGGTACGTTGGTATGACTCAAAGGTACAGTTTTTGGAGTCCATCAGATTTATAGGTTTTGGGATCCAGCAGATTCCCAACATCCCGTTTTACAGGACTTGCATTGCTACTGTCAAACTCAGAATTGCCACCAGTAGCTTTATTTCAACATAGTTCTGTGTTTACAACAGCATGACAGGCAGAGAAAACAAGTATCTCTCAAGAATTCATCTCTCCAGTGATGTGTCACTCTCTGATCCACTCAACAGATTTTCAGTAATTCGAATTGAGTTAGAAATCTGCGATCCTATGTATTCATATAGACAAATAGAATAACTGAGCATAACTCAATTCAGCTGAATTTGTCTTGCTTCTTTTAAAGCCATGTCAGTCTACATGCTCAGTGAGCTTACAGCTGTTGAACTAATGGTTTTCTAAGGCTCAAGACTAAATCAAGATGGACAGTGTAGTGCGATTTGTTTTTCATTTAAGTAAAAGACTGGTGGTTCAAAATCAAAGTTATTCTGTTGTACGTACCTGGCTTATCCTAGAAAGGTAATAGTAGATGGTCAAGGGGAAAATAAGATGTAGAATGTTAAATGGAGAGTATGTTCACACTAGTTGCCTGTTTCAGAAAGTTTTACAAAAATGATAATGCATCTGCATATAAATGCTAGAAGAAAAGAATACATTAGCTCAGTGGTGGCGAACCTATGGCACGGGTGCCAGAGGCGGCACTCGGAGCCCTCTCTGTGGGCACGCATGCCGTCGCCCCAGTCCTAGGCCTTCAGCTGGGTTTTATAAAACCTTTTCGCTTTAGGCCTCCGCTGCTGTGTGCAAAAAAAAAAAAAAAAAAAAAGGTTCAATCAATTTCAACTTCTTGCAAAGTTAGAATTGATTGATTGAACTTTTTAGTCCCACCCAGTCTGCCGTTACCATCGCAGCCATGCCCACCCCATGGGCCACATCCACCCAGCACTTGACGATGCCTAAGTGGGTTTTGAGTTGCAGTTTGGGCACTCAGTCTCTAAAAGGTTCGCCATCACTGCATTAGCTAGATGAGCCACCTAGTTTGACTGATTGATTCAAGGAATGTAATTGTTGGATGGAAGCTTTCATTATATATTCCTGGCTTCAGATTTATCTCTTTATCACTGTTCCTAGTCTCTTTCATGTGATTTTTCTTTTCCTTAGTATAAAGCTAAGCATTGTATATTCAAAAGAAAATAAGCAGATAAAAACAATTTTGCATAGAAAATCCATCTCTTTTATTTGAAGACTTGGGACACAAAAATATTTTAAGCTGTTCATTATTGCATCCTCTTTTTAAAAGTATGACTACAGATGAATTGTTTTGCATTGCAAACAGATATCCCATTTGCTGTTCCAATTGTGCATCTAATATTTATTTACTCTTGAGTTTTAAAGAGTAATTGCAAACATACATTGAAGCAGGAAAAAATAAGAAAGGATAGAATGTGATTGCATTTCTATTTTTTTAAATATTTAATTTTATATCAAAGTAACAAATACACTTTTGGTTTGCAGATGTTTTGAAGGGCTTTAGTTGGTTTGTGTGCTACACTGATTCCATGTGATTGTTGTAATCTGTTGGTGGTTTCTGAGATATTCTTGATGTATGGTAGTGTAACTCTCTTTAGGATTTGTGTTGGTTGTGCTGTATTGGGTCGATAAAGTTGCATGGATATCCATTTTGTATAAAGTCCTCACGCAGCTTCTCTTATTCAGACGAGCCCAAACATTGCAGCAACAAAATGGATATCCACACAACTTTATGTAAAAATATAATCTCAATTATTATTTCATTTCATATTTTTAAAATTGGTCTGTAGGCTTTTGGGGGGGATGAAAAGCAAATTTTAAAAGCTTTGTATAAATGCTTTTTTTTTTACATCTGAAGCATTTCTCCATCAATAAAGCTGTCAACCCCACCAATATCATCTGTGCTTATTGTGCCTATTGTGCAACTTGGTTTCAGATTCTACTCCCAAGGTCAATAACCATAGTTGGAATCTTAAGAAATCAGAGAGCATAGTAACAGTGAGTCCACAGGTGATAAATCTTCACATGAAATTAAAGATCCACAGATCCTACTTCAATATTTGAGTGATATTGATGGAAATTTCCAGAAACACTGGAATTAGAAAATCAGGGAATATAATTGAAAATCAGGAAATATAATTGAGATTTGGAAGCACAGGCCTCAGTCCAATGAGTGTATTTAATCATGATGACCAGGCAATTGGCAAGAATGTGATGGAAGAGAGTAGCTCTTGCTAAGATACCATCTTGGACAATTTTTATTGGAGTATGGATAATACCCTTGAATAACATGGTGACTATTAACTCAGTATGACATCTTAAGAATTTTTTTAAATCAACCAATGAAATCATTGTACAAACAAGTGAATAACAATGTGTTTCATTATGGATAAATTCTTGTTTCATTATAAAACTTTTTTTAAAGAGAATTTTAGGAGAATTAATGGAGTATGAGCCTCTATGTTCTGTATGGAACATGCCTCCTAAATATTAGTCTGATATTCTCAGGACTCCTCCTTTCTCCCTCCCTCAACTATTCTTTTTCTCTTCTGACTTTGAACTGTGTCACTTGCCAATTCCTGATCCCATGATTGCAGGGATGCTGCAAGGCAGCAACTTTGAGGACCATTCATAAGTCCTCTTGTTCAGCACTGTTGTAATTTCAAATGGTCACTGAACAAGTGGTCAGTAAACAAGGATTACTTGTATGTTGTTTCCTGAATTAAGCTTACCTTTATTTTCTTTCATGCAAGCACCAGCATCAAGAATACTGATAGAATATAAAAGTTATACTCTAAGTAAACTCTGTCCACACATTTTTTTTCTATTACATAAATGTGATTTTCAGTGGTTTCTCAAATTACAATACAGGAAACATGCTTGTGTAATGTAATGTAACTTATATAATGTCTAAGTGGCATATATGATAAACAATCTATAATCCAGTATCCAGTCCAGTGTTTTTCAATCTTGGCAACTTTAACATTTGGACTTCAACTTTCAAAATTCCCCAGCCAGCTTCAGCAGTGGTAATGTATAAATTATCTTAAAAATAGCCCAACTGCTTCCCAACTTTTTCTAATATGAGAGTCACAGACTTTTCTCCATGGCTGAGGGAAAGTGCTACCTGCCTCCTTGAAGTGGCAAAAAGTATGCTGGCATCCCCATCCATATTCTGCCAAATAAAGGAGCTGGTAAATGACATTGTTCTTATTGGATATAGTCATGTCATAAAGATTAGAAGATTGTTATGTCAACAACCACCAGCAAGTTCCTTTGCTCCAATATTGGTGAAATACTAAAGAGCAATTAAAAACTTTATTCTAATATTGGTTTCAGTAAAAATAAGTTGCTGGAATTTATTAACCCCAACTTCATTGAATAAATATATATTAATATATAAATATACAGAAAGGCCAATCCTAAACAATATATGGTTTTGAAACAAATTTTGGAGCCAATTCAAAATGCTTGGGCATGTGTGTATGAATATTAGCCCAAGGTCTCAGCACTGAAGGTTATGGAGCATAATCCATCACATTTGTCCAGTGTGCTTTGGTAGATAATTGTTTTTCAAGTTCTCAATCTAGGACTGAGAGAGAATGACTGAATAAAAGTTACCCAGTTATTTCTGTGCCTGAGGGAGGATTAAAATCTGGGTCCCTCCAATCCTAGTCATTATCTCAGCCACCTAACCTACACTGATTCTATCAATATGTATCAGATTTAAAGGCTGTGCAAATAAGTTAGAAATAAAGGAACAAATTTGAAAATCAAAACACTCTCAGTACAGATTTCCCTACAAGATTGTTCATTTTATTTTGCATCCTATAAAGCAAGGCATAAACGTACAAAAATCCTGAATTAATTCATTAACCGAATGTCTTCACTCTGTGTAGATCTCTCTATACAAATATATATTATGTACACAAAAGTCTTATAATGCAACAGTAAAATAAGAATACCCATGGAACCAGCTCTGAGCCCAATAAGAAAAGACTACAAGATCTGAGCTTATTGATTTAGAAAAAGATGAGGAAGGAGATATCAATGTTAAAGTTATGCAACATGAACAAAGTAGACAGAATATCTTTTCTCTCATACTAAAACTATGGTTTTCAATGCAGTTGAATGATAGATGATCAGGACGGAATAAACAAAAATATTTCCTTCAAGAGGTCTATAAAATTTGCTGCCACAGTATGTAGTAATGCCCCAACTTGGACAGTTTTAAAAGAGGATTAGATCAATTCACAAAGAGTAAAGTTACCAGTAACTACTAATCAAAATGGCTACAAATTATCACAGGGAATATGTATATGAGTATCCATTGCTAAAATATTATGAGGAAGCAGATGCTTTTGCCTTATTATTTTGTTAATGGGCTTCTGGTTGGTTTTTACAGGAACAAAATCAGCCCAAATAGGCTTTAATCTCTTCCTTCCTTCCTAATCCTGACCTGTTTATTTTGGCAGGCATTACTACATCCTGAAGAAAGGATTATGGGCATATAAACATAAACCTCAAGCGGCTATCTTTTATTACTCTGATGCATTCACAGAGATCAAAGTGGGCTGCTGACAAGCTGTGGAAGAAGTAGTAAGCAATAAACTATTGCCCAGAGGAAAATAATGAAGTAAAACAGCTCAGGCTGGTCTGTCCGTGAAGAGCTCCTACATAACAGTTCCTTCTCTAGAGTGTCTTCCTCTTCAAGGTCTTTTCTCTTCCTGAAAAGAGTAGAGAAAGTTAAATTACAAATGCCCATGAGCTACATGATCAGTGGTGGCCCTTTTCCAAATGGCCTTGTCCAACAGACACTAGAAGGATGACTATTAAAGATAAGGCCTTTGAATCCCCATCTTCTCACAAGAATCTGCCAGGCACTTCAACTATTATCCATTAAATTCTAAGCAAAGAACTTTGTACTCCAAATTTGGTTTTTGGATTTGTTAATTCTGGTGATCCAATTTAATTCCTGTACGCCACTTGATTTGCTTTTGTAATATTGCAGTGGTTCCCAACCTTTTCTTCACCATGGACCCCTTTTAAATACCTTTTGTGACCACTGACACTATAAAGTAGTTAAGAAAGGCAAGAATAATTATATAAAATCCAAGGCAACCACTTATTTCTACACCCTATTTCATTCTCTCTTTACCTATGCACCCACTGTTCTGTTGCACTTTAAATTGTTAAGACTTTTAAAACAAGACCTTCAAGGATGCTCTATAATAGACATCATCAATGTGAACAAATGCAGTTGTGCTTTCTGGATAGAGCATGCTATCAATGAACAGGCTGATAAGGGGACAGGCGAAAGAGGAAAGAAAGGAAAGACCACAAACCACCCTTTCACTCGGATGAGTTTAGACTGAGACTTACAGAAACGACAGAGGGAGAGGGAAAATGATAAATATTGCTATAACTTGTGAGGGATCTGAAGAAATCCTGTCTTCAACAATGATGAGTATTCTACACATCACTGAATAACCAAAGAAGGGCTGCAGGTACACTTCATAAACAGCTGTAGATAATGACTCCTTAGAGACTGTAACTGCATTATGTCTGAAATAGTAAATATCACTTTGACACAATTGCTTTATATTTTAAAATCTATACCCAATGTTCAGATTATGGAGGCAAGCATAGCTAAGTTTATTTTTTTTTTAAAAAACTTAGGAGTTGTAGTTTATTTCAGAAACTACAGTTAAGCAAACCATGTCTTAGCATAATTTTTGAACATGTGCAGGAACAGAGAATATAGATCATCCTTACAATCTTGGATACCCTTCAGAAATATACTTTCAGCTCCAGGAATTCTGCAGTCAGCATGGCTGTTTTGTAAATTCAGGAAGCTGAAGTCCGTACATTTGGGGGTGCCAAGTCTGGGAAAAGATGCTGCCACACATTTCTGAAACTAACTGCCAATAGAGTGGAAAAATCGAAAATCCTGCTGAGCCTACTCTGAGCCAGCAGTAGCAAATCAGGAAAAACAAAAATAATCATAAGGTTACATTTTGCTGCATCACTTAACTATATTTCCCTCAGTACTAAGTTTCTCAGTATGGCAAAATGGGAAAGATTAGTGATTAATAATTGGTTAACATTTAACCAACATTGCAGTAGATTCTTCATCCACAATGCGAATCTGATTTCAGCCTAGCTGACATACCTTATAAAGTGTTAAAAATCTGGTTCTGCCATCCATCAGCCTCACCTCATCTCATCCTTCAAATCTGACTTTCAGCTTTATTATTGGAAGAGCATCACAATTATGTTTTTTCGATGGGAAAGCTCATATTTAACAAAAAACAAGGATATGTTTTCAATGTTATGATTGCTAAGTACCCAGTTTTATTATATTTTATATGATATACCATACAGGCAATCTTTGACTAATGGCCATAATTGGGACTGGAATTTTGGCTGCTAAGTGATGTGGTTATTAAGTAAGCCATCACATGACCAGATCTGATTTTATGACCATTTTTATCTCAGGCTTCAAGTGAATCACAGTAGTTATTAAGCAAATCGTGTGGTTGTTAAATAAATCATGTGGTTGTTAAGCAAATATAGCTTCCCCTATTGACTTTGCTTGTTAGAAGCCAGCTGGAAAGATTGCAAATTGTGATCATGTGCTGCAAGTTGTTGCAACTGTTGTATATGCAAGTCAGTTGCCAAATGCCTGAATTATGATCACATGACTATGGGGTGGTGTGATGGTCAAAACTTTCAGAACACATCATAGGTCACTTTTTCCAAGGACATCATTCGTTTAACCATTGTTAAGTGAACAGTCATAAGTCAAGGACTACCTACAATTATAATTTTGGTAAGGAGGTTTACCTTAGCGAGGAACGCCAATATGATTAAAGGTACTTTTCAGGCAACTAAATGTTATCTTTGTTTTTATCTTAAGGCTCAATGTACAAAAATGAAAGAATATACCTGATAACAGGACTTGCATATTCACTTGTGGTTGTGCTCTTTTGTACACCAGGCCTGCCACTTTCCTAAAAATATATAATCCAGAAATGTAGCCATATTATAACTATATAACTATATAGGCTAAACTTTAAAATAGGTGATAATAGCAACTAAACTTTTTTTGTGCATCAAATCATATCATTTATCCTTTCTAGATGCATCTGAGAATGTCATGGGTATTTGCTAATACAAGTACATTTATAACTTTAATACCAGGCTGTTTGTACCACTTCAGACTGGGCCTTAAGAAGCCAACTGTCTTGGAAGTCAACTCTTAATACAGGTAGTCCTTGTTTAGTAATCCCAATTGGGATTGGCAACTTGATTATTAAGTGAAATGACTACTACGTGAAACCCCAACTGTGCTTATAATCTTGCTTCATCTTACCTGCAAATGTTGTAAATGTGAGATTTGGTCACAAAGTTACTTTTTTCATCACTGCTGTAAGTCATTAAACAAGGCAGTCACTAAACAAGCACTCCCCGTACAATAGTTTTTTATAACAGTGAAATTTATATATCAATAGTGTTGGAAATGTTTTGATTTTTCTTGGTATCTATTGAATTGGTTTTTCTGAACATATTGTGCTTCAGATTTGTTGAACAGAAATTCCCATTTATCTTCAGACCATAGGTTGTTGATATGGTGAGTAGATATGATGGAAATTGTAGTTCAACTCTTTTGAGGGACATCTTATTGAAGGAGTATACTATAGCTACAGGATACAATAGCCTCATTTAAAATGATGTGCAGTGTTTTCACAGCTGGATATTTGGACAATATGAATGCTAAATGAACATGAGATTTGATTAATTAAATACAGATAATATTCACATTATCTAATTGTGTTTTCTATCTGGTGTGCTTGGAATAAGCCAGGGATTTCAAATCAGTTTGGAGGATGTTTGCAGACAGGACTGATTGCTCTACTGGAGGTATTTAAAACTATGCTATTTCAATTTCATTTAGATAAATAATAGGAGGAGTACAGGCTAGTTACAGAAGTAAAAGTTCACTTGCTTACCTTAATCGTTGAATCAGTAGTATTTATTTGGTAGACAATATTGGGATCACTGTGGCTGATCCTGAAATGCATAATTGAATCCATATATAAATCAACCATGATTTGAAAAAACACCCCAATATTGTTGCAGCCTTCCCAAATCTAAAAAGATTTAGTAATACAAATAAGACTTTCATTGTCAGTCTTTAATGTTTAATATTTTAATGTTCTTTGAATTTTTTGCTTTTATGATATTGTCACTTGAGAATTTATATGGGTGGCATATAAATTTAATTAATTATCCCCATTCAGATAAAATACAATGACCAAAACATTGGTGAGTGAATTATAATCTAACTCATCTAGAAGGCAAACCCACAATCCCTGGGTTTCTAACCGATACTTTAACCACTACACCAAACTGGTTCTCTTTGCTTTATTATGCAATAATTAAACAAAAGTTTAAAAATACAATATCAAATTCAGTTTTCAATTTTAAGGAAAGAGTTATAGTTACTTTAATGCCCTACTAATTTTCCTGGAAAGCCATGCATTCAATGGTAACACCCTTGATATGCTTAAATGTTGGCCAGATCATGTCCTTCCAAAATCCATCTGGATGTATAAATGTTTCCTCTTTTCCACTCATTTCCCATGCTATAGCTTTTAGGACTGTAGCCAGGAAGACCAGTAAAATGTGCGATGTGGGTTATAACTATGCTTTATCTAGAAACTGGGCAAGGAAAGTGGCAAGACAAGTTCTGTAGGTGGGACCAGAAAGTACCTTGACAGAGCTGGATGGTCTATGGATTCTTCTTCCAGCTTATCTATTAAGCGGGTAAAGCCAGGTTTTGAGCTCTGGGGATTTTCTCCTTGGAAGATCGCCTTATTCTTCCTTTTTTCTTTCTTTTTACTCCTTTCTTCTGGCAGTTTTCTTTCTTCAGCTACAGTATCAGATTGATTTTCCATAATCTATAAAAAGAGCATAAAATGTTCAGATTAAAAACATAAGAATTATACTCTTCCACCAGGATCTTCTTTAATAGTAAATTACATGTAATTGTTTATTCATTAGAGCAGTGTTTCTCAACCTTGACAATTTTAAGGCATGTGGACTTCAACTCCCAGAATTCCACAGCCAGCATTGCTGGCTGTGGAATTCTGGGAGTTGAAGTCCACATGCCTTAAAATTGTCAAGGTTGAGAAACACTGCATTAGAGAGTTACGTTTTCTTACTTGCATAGTTTGTTTAATTGATTATTTGTCATCAAGTTAGTGTCAATTTTTAGCAACTGCATATATTTTTCTCAACCCTGTTATATTTCTTTGCAGAGGAGTGCTGCCCAAATCAGCTACCAACAATGTACAGCATCATAGTAACAAATAGTACATTTAAAAATATATATACTAAAATACAAATGAAACTAGCAAACTGAAAATTGAGTGCAACTATCATATACAATTGGAAACTCAAAAGCTTGCCAGATAAAAAATATTTTTAGTTGACAATTTTGGTAGGTATTCAAGTAGAAATACACATTGTCACATTAATAATGCCCAAAACATAAATCTGATTTTATCTATATCTAAACTACACACTGTAAAAAGGGGAATAAAGTTTGCTATTTGTTTTTAGCTGGATTTCCCATTTTGGATGGTGTTTCCTGAACAGTTGCCTAAATTGCCATTGCCAGATGATGGCTAACTTAAACAGCAAGAAAAAAAAACAAATTTCCTCCTCTACTATATCATTTTTTGAGTCGTGCAGCAAAAAAACATAGAATAATCACTATTAAAGTCATCATCGGTAACAATTGTGTTTAACCATGAGTAGATGGCAAATTTGTTCAATTATCTGACAAATCTGGGATATATTGTGAAGAACAGCCTTTGGAAGTGCGCATATTTTTAGCTCTCTTCCCAGAAAACCAAGCAGGGCTCCACTTACTGGATAGGGATTAGTGCCCCAAACTCAGCTTATATCAGAATGATAAACCAAGCCCAAGGCAGTGAGCCCAGACTGATGTACCTCCTCAACACTGAAGTTTTTCAGAAGAGATTGGACAACCATTTGTCTGAAATGGCACAGGGCTTCCTGCCTGAGTAGGAGGTTGGACTAGAAGATCTCTAATGTTCCTTCCAATTCTGTTATTCTATTATTCTGTTAAAGCTACATTATGCTTGGATGCCCGTGTTGGCTGAAGAAAATGCAGTAGTAGTTCAACTACCTCTGAAGAGAATGAGATGGGGAAACCTAGCTTTTACCATGTGAAATCACTACACCACTTACAAAGATTCCAGTCTGACCTACAGTAGCCAACACACACTGACACTAGAAACTTCCATTTCCAGGAATAGAGGACAATATGCAATATACATTCAAAAACGATTGTCTCCTTTGTGCTTCACTTGCCCACAGAGAATAAGACACTGGGGTGAGCATTGGTTCCCGTGTCAAAGTGCCTCTTCGCAGCCCTGCTCCTACAATTATGTCACTCACTATAGATTTCTCAGATGGGGAAGCCTACATACACAGACCTCCATATACAAAGATTTCCTTAGATCCCAGAACCTTGGGACTTAATATAATAAAATGCTTACATAACAGAATCTATTTTGTAAAGATACTGATTGTGAGAATTTGAATATTTTTATCCATAGAAATTAGTCTGCCCAAACTATTGCCCAAACTAATGACAGCTAGGTAATTTGGGGCTGTTAAATCTCTTCTGCTGTGCAGTAGGAATAGCTGTGCACTGCTAGAGATAGGATCACAAGTCTGTTCCCCAACAACCTTCATTTTTTTCTATAGAAATCAAATGCCCAGTAAGAACATGTACTGTATCTAGTTTTGATGCTATACACCTACAGCATACTCAAAGAACAATTCAGATCATTCCACAAGTTCTAAATTTTCATCTACAATAGTTTATGCACTTTTCCACAGAGGAAATATCAAAGTCCCTATTTAATCATGAAAGGAGGATTAATGAGTCACAAAACTTGTACGGACACTATTTTATAATGATCAAAGCCCACCTCAAAGCAGAAAATCATCACAAAAGAAAAGTCAGATATGGATTATTTGGATACCAAGTTGGTTTAGTATTTAATATTTATTTGCTATGTATATGTAGGGATGTGGGTCTATACATATGTTGTTCATAGTATGTTTAGGTGTGCATCATGTATGTGTTTCACTTTGAGAGCGGGCAACTAAATTTCATTTTTGATGTGTGCCGTTGTGCCCACAGTAAAAAAATGACAATAAAGGTTATCTTATTTTATCTGAATGTTTCAGATAGATTAGGACCAGATTTGAAATAGCTCGTTTCAGATTAGAACATATCAATGAAACCTTTTGTATTTTCTAATTTTATATCATGCATTTCATGCAAAATGCAATGAGAGCAAGCAATAGTTAGATGTGAGAATCACAATGACTATATCTGGCTGTAACCAATTTTGACTACAGAGATGCCAAGTACTCATATATTACATTCATTTATTTGAAAATAGCATATATTAAAGGGCATCCCTCCTAGCAATAATTCTGTACAGTTCTCCTAAATCCTGGTGTGCAGCATATAGTGAAAGTTAAAATAAGAACTATTTCACTGAACCAAGCAAGTAATGGCAAAATCAAACTTTACCACAGGAACATCTGGGTGCGCAGAATTGTTTTCAGAATTGTTGTTCTTTTGGGGCAGTGTGTTTTTCCCCACCACAGCACTCTTGCTAAAGGAAAACTTGGTATGACTCTGAGAATCTCTTTTCTGTTTTCTTGGGCTTTTGTTGTCCTTTTTTTTTGGCACATCCTTCATATTGCTTGGTAGATCTTGTTTGGGAATATCTCCTTCAGTGCTTGGGCTAAGGGGCTCATTTTCAGCCAAACAATCAACTAGAATTTCTGAGCAGATTTTACTGTTTTCTAAAAGGGAAAGGTCTGTATCAGAAGTGGCGGTAGCAAAGGCATCCAGCAGTGCTGATATGGAGACATCATAATGTGGATAATAGAAAAGGTCATGAGGAATTATAGAGACTTTAGAAGGATTTGGTGTCATCATTGATTCTTCATTAGCAATATTAAGGCTTTTGGAAGTATTACTGATTGGTTCATATTCAGGTGTACAAGTTGCCTCTGAATTATTTTTAAAGTCATGCCCATCAATTTCTTGATTAGTAGTTGGGAATTCCTTTAAGTTAGATGATTGTTCCGCAAGGTCATCATTTTCTGCAAGCTTAGATATTATTTCCTGATTCAGCATCTGTAATATGTACTTCTGTGTGACCTCTTGTCCTATAGAGGTTGGAATTACATACTCAGGTTCATTTGTCAGATGTTCTGATACCTTTTTAGATGAATGGGAAGTCCAAGGCAAGGAGCAAATCTTACTCTCAGGTGAATCTTTTATTTCACTGGATGATTTCTGAATGTCAGAGTCAAATTCATCAGAATCAGCTGGTTCAACAGAATCTTTACGGTAAATAAGAACAGTTGATGGGAAGTCATCACTCTTTACCGAAGCAGGGAAATTCAGTTGATTAACCTCAGATTGGTTTACATTGTTGGCAAGATTAGCAGGAGGGCTGATTTGAACCCTTCTTACTGGCAATGACCTTGGCCTTCGAGGTTCTTTTGTAGAAGAATCCATATGATCAGCTAGACTGTCATTAAGTTCAGTACTTGTTGCATGAAAATTTTGGTTCTCCTCATCAAGAGGCAAAGCAAGACTATCAATTTGAGGGCATGGTGATTGGTTTTCTACTAGGTGAATAGGATATATATGTTCTCCATTTTCATTCAGGAGTAACACTTTTTCTTGTTTTTCTTCCTCTGGTATCTCTTTAATATGGACATAAGCAGATTCAATTGGAAATTCCTTGTCCAGATCTGAAAAGTCTTCCTATATGAGATTAAATATAAATAATAACAATTAATAAGTAATCATAGAACCACAGAATCAGAAAAAAAGGTTGAATGGTTATATTTTCCAAAGTACTGGGCAAATAATTGTTCTAATTCAATATAAATGAACTATTCTTACCAAGCAAACTTTATTACAACTAATAATAATGAAATACAATTTGGGAATTCCACATCTATCTGTTCTGCTTTTTTTAGCTCTCATAGGATAGAAGTGAAAGCTACTTTTTAAAGTTTATATAGAATACAATTCCACCACAAAAAGTTGAAAAGAAGGCATTGGACAAAGACCTGGATTAAAGTGGACAGTGTATGTCTAATTCCCAGTTGCTGAAAATTGAGGGTAGGGGAATATGACTATATGTATGAATTAATCAATATGCTGATTGTCATAGTATGAAAACCAAATTCACAATACTTTATTTTGCTTGTAGAAAGCTCTATACCAGTGGTTCTCAACCTGTGGGTCGGGACCCCATTTGGGGTCGAATGACCATTTCACGAGGGTCGCAACTTTCCTTACTGCCAAGGGGATTTGAAAATGTTTTCCTATCTGCCTTTCTCTTAAAGAATTCATATATACTGCCTCCTGAGGAGTAGAAGAAGAATGGACAATCTTAAGAAGACATCACTACTGTCCTTTATCATTCAACCTGGATCACATCAGCTCCAGTCAACATGATGATTGTGGGAACTGCAAACCAATTTATTTGGAGTACACCAGGCTGCAGAAGGATGCCCTAGGGCAGTGGTTCTCAACCTGTGGGTCGGGACCCCATTTGGGGTCGAACAACCATTTCATGAGGGTCGCCAAACAACGCAGTCCGCCATTTTTTTCCCCTTTTCCTTAGCTGTGCTACTCCCTTTTATTCTATTGGCTTTTGAAAGCCAATAGGAATTGTCCAGGCTGTCTCTGCCCTGCTGAGCCCGCCAAAAGTCCCATTCTGCAAATGGTGCTGCACCAGTTGAGTAGTCCTCGACTTACGACTGGTTGAGTAGTCCTCGACTTATGACCGGTTGGGGGTCGCGGCATTAAAAAGGTTGAGAACTCCTGCTCTATACCCAAGGTCCAATGTCTTCAAGAAGCCAGTCTCTGGAGTTTGATATCCTATACCATTTATTTTGATGATCTTCTAAAGCAGGGGTCCCCAACCCCCAGTACGTGGACCAGTACCTGGCTGCAGCATACCAGCAACCGGGCCGCACAAACAAGCAAAGCCCCATCCGTGGGATGCAGGCAGCACATAAACCCACGCACTCTCCGGTCCATAGAAAAACCGGTCCCTGGTGCCCAAAAGGTTGGGGATCTCTGTTCTAAAGGATTCACATAAGCCATAACAATCATCAACTCAATTTGGGCAATTTATGATGAAAGTAACTTCTCCTTTCCAGAATAGCAAAGTCCTTCATATTTGCTCAATTCAATATGGTGCATAATTATAGAAGATAAGTGATTTGATTGTACTTTAATTTAAAATAATAGCTGAATCATCTTACGATCATAATATTGAATAACTGATAACTGATAAAACCTGACAGAAGTGGGCAACAATCATACAAGGGTGAAAGTCTGAAAATCAGTAAGCATTCCTTACTTAATGTTTTCAGCATGATAATGTAGCAGAAAATCACAAGCAGTGATGCAGTGTAAGTACCTTACCCCTTCCAGTTCTGGAAAATGCTCCAAAAACTGTGCCACATATGTCATGATGGACTGCTCATCAGGTGAATCAATCATAATGTCTGGGAAGAAATTACATGAAGCATCATTTCAATATTAACCAAAGCATCTATGAATGAAAAATAATTACCATTCCAAAACACAATCTTTTTTTAAACTGCATGTTTACTTTATTCTTTGTACCTTAATATTCTTCTCCAGGTGCAAAATTTTCTTTTAAAGAACAAGCATGGTCTGGAAGATGATTCTAGACAAACCAGTGCTGCTGGTAGTATCCTTCCTGATAAAGAGTTTGCTAAATTAAAAATATTGATTTTTCTTCCTTTTTTCTATAACTTTCATATGTATTGTTTTTTGTTCTAGGAAGATTCTCAACATGCAGTCTGTTAGACTGAATGGTGCTATCAGTTCTGTTTTGTATTAAATGCCATGAATGCCCTAACTCTCGTTCTGAACCATCTCTCTTAAGGATGGAGCACATGTTATGATTTATCTGCCCGGAATGATTTATCTGTTTGTGCTACATGTACATGTTTGTATTTGTATTTGTATTTAATTTTATTTATATGCCGCCCAATCCCAAAGGACTCAGGGCGGCGTACAGAGTTAAAACAATCATAAAACAATAAAATAACACAGTCATAATACAGTCTTTGATTGCTGACAATCAAAGATGAGTAGGCTACCTTCTGGTTCCAGAAGTCTTGGAATACCCAGATGGTCTTGTGCAGTACAGAATGCATCCTCTAAGTTTTCCCTGGGACATTTGTCTAAAGCTTGCTTCATATCTACCAAACTAGAATCTATTGCTTTGATTACAGCTAAGAAGGCCAGGCCACTTCTCCAACTGCTGGTAAAGTCCTGAATTGCCACACCATATCTAAAAGAGAAAGAACCACTGTGAACATTCAGATACAAAACACAACAAGCTTAACAACTTTTGGAACACGAAAAATTGTTGCGATAAAATAACTCAGCTTTAGAAATAGAAACTTCACACTTATAAACTGACTACATTTCCAGGTTTTTTTTCATATATTTATTTTTTGGGTATGTTTTAATGTTACTCTTCAACAAAATTTATTTCTCACCAGTATTTATGTTTAAGGAAAAAAAATATAAGAATATATTCACGCATATGACTTGATGCTGGTTAACTCTGGTGTACCTTAAAGCTAAAATGTGCTTCCTATTTTTCCTGAAATAATTTAGGGCTGTTTTAAACATATATCTGATTTTATTAGTTTTTATTTGCATGTAAAAATATACATCAGCCAGAAACCTCCTTAACAAATGCTTGTTGTCCAGATAGACAATGATCATAACTTAACATGCATGGAAATGCCATCAACATAAAGCGGTTTATAACAGAGAATGTAATAGACCCATACTCAAACACATTTGGTGATATCATAGCATAGTTTATTACCTGTGAGACATGAAGTATTTAAATACTATCTTGAAATTAGGGGTTGAAATGATTTGGTCCCATAAAGGTCCCTTCTAACTGAGCAGTATTTGATTCTAAGGGCATAAAAAAACCATAGATTGGACTCGATCTAGGAAGTGAATTGAGTCCATCCCATGATAAATAGACAGCACTGCTGGACACTATCCACAGCAGCAAATGGAAGCTGAGATTGGGCATTACAGAAAGTCAGTGACACCATCCCCTAATCAGTGAGTAGCCCAGTTTGCTTCCTGTTTGGCTTGACACATGTCTGATAATATTATAATGTCACTGAGATTTCAAAATAGACTAATGGGTCTTCATGACCAGGAAAATTAGAAAAGAATAATTTTCCCTATCCAAGAATATGCATCTATGGGGGTAATGGTGCTTCTAATTTTTAAAGCAGACAGATTAACATTTAGGTAGAGACCGAAACACAGAAAGAACTCGGGACAAGTTGCTCTCTGTAACAATTTAGAGGGATTATAAACTGCTTCCTGAAATCTAATGGACAAGCAAACACAGTTTATTCAAATGATTTAAGCTGTGAATGTCTATCTTTGCACAAGATGAATATTTGAAAATATTACCATAAGCTTTTTGTAATTTTCTTTCAAGGGAAAAAAACTTAGGTAGACAGTTCTAACCTAGAATATATTCTTACAGATTGTAACATTTGTCATTCCACTGACCCATTTCAAAACTGTTCTATAAGAAGTCATTAAACAAAGAAGACATGGAAAGGAAGGTGCATGGAAGCTGCTTGCATTTTAGAATAGCATTTTAACTGGAAATGCAGCCACTGACCATTCCAAGCATAAAAGATGCTAAGCTGTATATATAGAGATGAAAATTAATCTGTGGACAATGGAACTTCCCTTCAGATAAACAGATTATTATACCCCTTTCCTTCTTTAAGATAAATGGATAGAAGTGGGAAAGTGGAATCACAAAGCTGAACTCTAGCTCAATTTTCTGACAAATTATAATTCTCCTCACTTTCTCCAAGAAAACTTACTAAGAGAGAGAACTGGTACATTTACTCTGGTTTCAGGTGATCTTTGTATGGTAATGTAGGTTTGCACAAAGACATCAATTTCAGAGAAAATCTTTGTATTATCAACCCAAAGATCACAGAACAGAAAGGTCAGGAAAGCTAATCAGCTTGATAACAGGCTCAATTACATTCTGTTCTTGTACTAGAACCTCTTTACATTGCTTTAAACAGATCAGAACAGGACATTTTTCTTCCATCTAACAGGCCACGAAATTGACTTGTTTTTAAAAAAAAAAAATGAGGAGAAGAATCAACTTACTTTCTAGTTTTCCTTTGAACCCAAGTTAAAAGAGCCTTGATTGCTTTCCGCTGATCCTTCACAGAAACAGACATGTTTCTCTCAACATTAGGTGTGCTGGGATGAGATGTATCTGAATCAGGGCCACTTGGCCCTGATGACAGGCTAGATGAGGAGGAGTTCCTATTGAGGTTGCCTGTAAGTTCCTTTATCTGTAATGAAAAGGCAATTATCGAGATCATCTAGTCTTGCTGTTTTCCGGACAATCAGCCCTTTTTATTGCTTTAGGCAAGAGACTGCTTGCAGGCACCTCTTCAGTGTTGACCCAGAATTCAGTTAAGGCCAGTGTAATGCACCTGAAAACAACTGGCCATGCCCTACATCATTAGCATTGGCGACTGGCATTCCAATATACATAATAAAAATGCACAGCACTTTTCAATAGTCAATCTTTTGCAGTAACATGGCCCAGATCTGGAGCAAACTATGGGTGCTGTAAATAAACAATCCACAAACATGCTCACTTAAAGAGTAACATATTTATTCTGTGGACAATATTCTACTTTATTTCCTCAGCTTTAAGAGATTGCAAAAATAAGTAATTTGCATATATTACAATGGGGGCAAATGATACATTTGCAACTATTGCTAAGTAATGTGCCTTAGCCATTAATAATGTAGCTGCACAGCAAAGATTTAAATATATACTGCATGTGAACTGCTTTTGTTCACTAAGAGGTAAGCTTTTGTATTTTTCTTCTTCTTCTTCTTATGACTCAATAATAAATCTGCCCATTTATTTCTATTGGACAGAGTCACCTTTCCATAAACAGATCTCTTTCTCTTCAGAATAGGGATTGTATTACAGCAGAAAAGCCTGCTTAAGAAAAGGAAAGTGCTTCTGCTATTTCCTCCTTAGTGCTGCAGGCCTTCATATATCTGCCTTGGTATCTGAGAATTCTACTTCTCTGAACATCAGATTTCAGGGAAATCAGTATAAACTAACTCTCTGCCTTCCTATAGTTGTGTTCCCATGAACTCTCTCCAAACCCTTCTTGCCTTTGCCAGAACATCACATCTCCCCCCCCCCCCGCCCCAAGCATTCATGGAAAAAGAACTCAGCATGTTAGAGAAAGGTATTTCCACTAAATATGGATTACCTTATATATTGCAATAACATGATTCATTAGAATCTGCCTTTTTGGTGGAAAGTTACCAAATGATAGGAAAAAAAAATACTCCAGAGTTTGAAAGAGATAACAAGTTTCTAGGAGCAGGCACAGTTTGGAGACAAGTGTTAAACTTTATGAAGAATGTATTTTTGGAATGACATAATAGCAGTAAGACAATGCTAAAATCGATGCCAATGTCACTTTGCAATAGAACAGGATAAACAACCTGATCTTTTAATGAGCAATAAACAGCACCAGGCATGGAAGATTCTTTTCTTTTCATATTTACTTTTTAACAGATGGTGGGGCGGGGAAATGTCTTCTCATGTTTCCTGGCTTGTTAGCTCCCATTTTGCCATTTGAAAATTTGGCTCACCTTTAAAGGAATAATCATATTTAGGAAATAGCAGCTGAAATGGAGGCAGACGGAAGGAAAGTAGTAAATGGCAAAATAGCTGAAAGGAAATTGTTGAGTCCGTGGCGGGAAAACAGACACGAGAAGCAGCTGAAGTTCTCAGTTTCATTTATTCAGCGTTCAGCTTACAGGAAGATGGCTTCAGCCTCGCCCAAACGCCTCGCAGCCTCTTATATAGGCAACTCCCGGGTAAATGGGTTACTTTTCCCGCGCCAGCACCCGCGCATGCGCACAGCGCTGGCGACAGCCTGTCTGGTCCCGGGCAGCTTTGCACCTGCCCGGGACTGCCTGCAAACACCCGAGCCGTTTGCAAGGCTCGGGACATAACACCCCTTTCCCCCGGGCTAAAACTACTACCAACATACAACATTTATTTTATATGACATTTTGCTCCCCAGGGCTCCCACTGATTACTGGCTTTTGCCTTGCCAGCAATGTTATGTAATCTTCTAGATACTTAGGAGATTTCTTTGCTCTCTGTGACCTTCTTAGCTCTGGGTTACTGGCATAAGTCCCCTGACTGGAGGGAGGCGTGATGAGCCTGTTCTCTCTATTGTGCCCTGGTGTCTTCCAAGGACTGTGCCCGATGCCTGGCCTGCTTGCTTGCCCACCGGGCTCGTCAGGCCAGGGCTTCTGTTGCTTTGTGACCTGGTTGACCTACCTAGCTGTAGACCCTCAGGCCCCTTGAAGTGATAGCCACTGCTGGGCGTCTCTGTAGAACCTCCTAGGTCAGTCCAAGACCTGTCAGGAGGCTGTCCATTCCCTGAACCCCATTCTGTGTTCGGGCTCGTGTGGGTTTCTGTACTTTCCCAAAACTCAGGTGTTCCCTGATTTGTGCTAGGGTTGTTGTAGTCGGGACTTGGTTCCTCGACTAGCTCTGTGTATGTTTGACCCCCTGTAGGATTTGGGGTAAGGTCAGGCCAACCTTGGGAATTGTGTGCCAGCTCTCTTGCGGGGAATGATTTGTTGGGATGCCCCCGGGTATCCTCCGTTGCTGGAGTGCTGTGTGATGTGTGTGGAAAGTGAGTATGCCCCCGGGGTGACTCCCTGGCTGGAGTAGGCGTGAGTGCCTGTTGTGTGGGTAAGCTCCATGACTTTCTTTTCGGAGCAATTGCAGAACCTTGGGACGAGCCGTTTGTGGCTCCCTCAGTGGAGATGGGCAGTAGCTCTTGCCCTTCCCTTTGCTCCAAAGGGTCCCCCTCCCCCCCTGGAAAAGACCCAGGAGTCTCAGCAGAAAAGTCTCGCCTAGAGCGAAGTTGGTCGATGTGCCGACGCAGGACACGACCGTTGTCCAGGGCAACCTCGTAGGAGAGAGGACCTGTGATCCTGGACACAGAAGCGGGGACCCATGTATGACCAGGCCCGTAATTGCGAGCCCAAACCGGGGCACCCACAAGTAGTTGTCTAGGTGCCCTAGGATGTGAGGTAGATGAAGGCAGTCTGTCCGGATGCAACCGGTCAAGTCTAGTAGTAAGTTGGCGCCCCCAACGAAGTTCAGCTGGACTTCTCCCTGTAGAAGTGGACGGTGTGGTGCGATAAGAAAGGAGAAAGTCAGCCAACCTGTGATGCCAGTCCCCGTAGGTGAGTCTCTTCAAGGCGTCCTTTGCGATGCGCACCATGCGTTCAGCCATACCGTTGGTGGACGGGTGAAAAGGCGCAGGCGTGGCATGACGAATCAAGTTTGCCTGTAAGAAAGCTTGGAATTCGGAGGAGGTGAATTGAGGGCCGTTGTCGGACACAATGACATCTGGCAGCCCGTGTGCAGCAAAAATCCCCCTCAGTACCTGAATAGTCTTTGCAGTGGTGGTGGATGAGACAGGCACAACCTCAAGCCATTTTGAATGGCTGTCAACAAGGACCAAGAAGAACTGGCCCTGAAAGGGCCCAGCGTAGTCAATGTGCACCCTAGACCATGGGGACTGTGTTTCCTCCCATCTATGCACAGGAGCTTGGGGCATCTCTGGGCGAGATCGTTGGCACAGGTGGCATGCGTGTACCTTAGCCTCAATATCTTTATCTAAACCAGGCCACCACAAGTGGCTTCGTGCAAGAGCCTTCATACGAACAATGCCAGGATGACCCTCGTGGAGGGATTCTAAGACCCTAGTCCTCATTGAGGTGGGAATGACAACTCTGTTTCCCCAAAGCAGACAACCCTGAGAAAGGGACAGTTCGTTCCTTTTGGACCAGAAACTCTGAAACTCAGGACTAGGGCAGTGCTCAGGCCACCCGGACAGGACCCAGGAGCGGACATGTGAAAGTGTGTGATCTGTACCCGTTTCAGCGGTAACATCCCTGGCACTAAGAGGGAGCTCGGGCAAGGCTTGGATTGATAGAATGTTGACAGCTGGCGCGGGGTCAGCTTCTACTACTGGCAGAGGCAATCTACTGAGGCCATCAGCATGGCCCATTTCTTTCCCAGGCTTGTGGAGTAATGAAAAATCATATGCAGACAAAAAAATAGACCACCTAAGCATTCTAGGGGAAATGATGTGGGGAGTCTGCTTACGTGTGGTAAACAGTCCCAGCAGAGGCTTATGGTCAGTGAAGACCGTGAAATGCCTGCCATATAGAAAATCGTGGAATTTTTTAATTCCAGCAACAACAGCCAGAGCCTCCCTGTCTATCTGAGCGTAGTTGCGCTCGGCAGAAGACAGTGTTCTGGAGTAGTATGCAATAGGAACCTGAGTTCCATCAGACCTGAGGTGACTCAGGACAGCTCCAACCCCGTAGGGGGACGCATCACAAGCGATGCACACAGGGAGAGACTCGTTGAAATGTGCAAGAACACTGTTAGAAGTGAGCAAGGCCTTGACTTCTTTAAAGCAAGCCTCATGCGCTTGTGACCACAGCCACACAGCATGTTTGTCTAGTAGCCTGTGAAGAGGCTCAGCTACACTAGCCTTATGTGGAAGAAAAGAATTGTAGAAATTCAGGAGGCCTAAGAAGGCCTGATGTTCGGCCTTGGACTTGGCTTGGGTGCTTCTAAAATAGCAGTTAGTTTGGATTCAGCAGGATGAATCCCAGCAGCATCAATTTTGAATCCCAGAAATTCAGTAGAAGGCACCCCAATCTGGCATTTGTCTTTTCTGAGCTTGAGGCCTGATTTCCTGAATCTTAACAGGACAGCCCTAAGCCTTTCAGCTAGAATGTGTGTGGAGTCTCCTGCAATCAAGACATCGTCAAAGTAGGGGCAGACCCCTGGTATACCTCGTAGTGTGTTTTCCATTACGCTTTGGAAAATCCCAGGAGCGACATTTACTCCAAACTGTAGCCTTTTTACTTTAAAGGCTCCCCTGTGGGTCACAATGGTCTGAGCTATGGCAGCATCATCATCAACAGGCAGCTGTTGATATGCTTGAGCTAGGTCAAGCTTTGCAAAAACACGCCCCCCCCTGAGAGAGGCCAGGATGTGACTGACCACAGGAACAGGATAGGCATGTTGCTGCAATGCCTTATTGAGTGTGCATTTGTAATCAGCACAAATGCGAATGTCCCCATTTGCCTTTAGAGGCGTGACAATGGGGGTCTCCCATGGGCTGGAATCAACAGGTTCTAGGATTCCCTGTTGGATTAGTTTGTCTAGTTCAGTGTCAATCTTACTTTTTAAAGCAAAAGGGACCCTTCTTGCTTTAATCCTAATGGGAGTGACAGTGGGGTCTAGCTTTAAGGACACAGGTGGTCCTTTGAATGTGCCCAGCTGGGGGCTGAAAACATCTGCAAATTCTTTGCAGACTTCCTGTAGGTCGAGTGTTTGTAAACTGTTGAGTCCTGTGACGTGTATCCCCAGGGCCTCAAACCAATCGAGTCCTATGAGACTCGTTCGTTCACCCCCTACTACTAATAAGTCTAGTGGACCTTCAAAACTCTTGTATTGCACGTTAAGGGTGGCCTCCCCCTTAACACACACTCTTGAGTTCTGAAAATCTGTTAATACAATATCAGAAGGCCTTAACTTGGCCTTAGACCCACTTCTGGAACAAATCTTCCTAAATGTATGCAATGAAATGATGGACAGGGCAGACCCTGTGTCTAGTTCCATAGATAATGGAACCCCTTGTAGCTTCACGTTGAGTGACAGCTTTTTCTTCATGGGCTTGTGTGTGCCTGTTCTACAGATGCTTCTTCGCGAAGCGCAAAAACCTACCCTATTCTGGCTGGGGAATCTGGTACCCTTCAGGCGTTCTTCTTGGGGTTGTGCCTTTCGTCGGCCCAGGCACACAGCTGCAATGTGCCCTTGTTTACCGCATGCCCGGCAGGTAGCGGAGCGGAACTTGCAGTCGGTTCTCCTGTGGCGACCTCCACAGCCGATGCACTTGAGCGGAGCCGAAGAGCTTCCCTTCTGGTTCTCGTCCTTCGCGGGGTGTAGACGGTCGACTTCCTCGTCCGGATCCTCCTCGGAGTTTCGTCGGACGTCTTCCTGGTGCACGGACGCACCCTCTGCACTGTTTCTGATCGGCCGCATATTTTTGACGGCGCCGCCTGCTGCTTCTTCTGCGGTGACTTCCCTTAAGGTGTCTTGGAAGGATAATTCTTCCTTTGCGAAAAGTCTCTTTTGTAGCTCTCGATGCCTTAACCCGCACACGAATCGGTCCCTCAGTCGTTCCTCGAGGTCCTTGAATTCGCAGGGCTTGGCGGCCTTCCGTCACGCGGCGATGTATTCCTTGGCTGACTCACCGGACCGTTGATCCCTCTGTTCGAAGGTGTGGCGCCATGAGATAACGGACACCTTGGGGTTGAAGTGCTCCTTCAGCAGCTTCTTCAGGTCTGCGTAGCTTACAGACTCTACTGGGACAGGTGCTGCAAGGTTTTCTGCGATTTCGAAGGCGTCTTGGCCGCAAACGCAAAGCAGGGTGGCCGCCTTCAAGCTATCTTCCCTCACTTGGTTTGCCTTGAAGTAGTTCTCCATTCTGGATACGTAGGACTCCCACCGCTCTGGATGTGAGACGTCGAATTCCGAAAGCCTTCCGATTTTCGCCATCTTCGGATCTTCAGGAGACGGTCTATCAGCCAGCCTACCCCCGAATGCGCACCGGATTGGCGGGCAGCTGCCGAGTCGACGCCGTTCCTCTTTCGCCGCTCAGGACTCCTTGGGTAAGCTTACACTTCTTCCTTTCCAGGTAGTGCAAGGCATCCCATCCTCGTCGCCAGTGTTGAGTCCGTGGCGGGAAAACAGACACGAGAAGCAGCTGGAGTTCTCAGTTTCATTTATTCAGCGTTCAGCTTACAGGAAGATGGCTTCAGCCTCGCCCAAACGCCTCGCAGCCTCTTATATAGGCAACTCCCGGGTAAATGGGTTACTTTTCCCGCGCCAGCACCCGCGCATGCGCACGGCGCTGGCGACAGCCTGTCTGGTCCCGGGCAGCTTTGCACCTGCCCGGGACTGCCTGCAAACGCCCGAGCCGTTTGCAAGGCTCGGGACATAACAGAAATGGTAACATTTTTTTTTCTTACCACATTCACACAGCTACTATATAATTATCTGATCACGTTTGGCCCATTCTAAACACATACATTACTCAAAAAATGTCTGGTTGGAAATGTTGCAGGGGTGTGTGTGTGTGTGTGTGTGTCTCCTTTCCCTAGCAAAGAAAATTTATTTTGATTTGATCATTTTGAAGAAAAAAAATAAAGATTTTAAACATTTTAATTAGATTTTTTTTTAGTTGAATGAGTATGTTTATTTTCTAGTTATAAAGGTTTGACAAAACTATCAAAAACCCATCATTGGGGGAAATGAGTCCAGTTGGCCGAGCAAAGGCATCATCATCATCAACATCTGACCAATCTTGCTTAGGCAAATAATCTAAATGAGGAGGGCTAAGTATCCCACCTAATACTTTTTTAAAACAGATTCATGAGAATAATAATGCTTGTGATTTTAACAAACTCTCTTTGTCACCAATAGTTTTTTTTTCCTTCCAAACACTGCAAAGTAATATATCCATTTTAAAGTAATGTGGTTGCTCATTGGCCACTGAGGAGAAACATGCTTACAATTGATCTTTTTTAAAGAGAGCGATGTAAATTATTTAAATTATATTAGTGGCAAGAGGGCACAAATTTCATATGCTCTCCTGCAGGCTATCAAGTTCTCATGTAGGACTTAATTCTGAAATGTGACTGAAAATTTCACTGCCTTTCTTAAAATTAGAGGAAAGATGATCCTGGGGGTTGAGTTTCCAGAGAAGTACTTGCTAAATTTATACCCTGAAGATCTGCACTTCTAAATCTCCCAATCTCCCTTACATTAAATCCACAATGATTATCTAATTGTTGTAATATGTTTTAATGGGTTTTTGTTGTTATTGTTTGATTATTTATTTATATCTGTTTAGTTTTGGATTTTCTTTTTTAACTGCATGTTTGTCAGATGAGCAGCTATACAAATTAAATAGATCAAAATAAATAAATAGCATCTATCTCCGCAAGTCTTTTCAGAGAGTAAAGGGGCTTTTGTGGGTTTGGGAGTTAGCAAAATTTAATTGTGCAATTTGTAATAACTCAGTTGCCCAAATTAGAGTAAGCAGAAACAATTCATATTTACTTGAAGGCATCAGTAGGTATAATCTCTAGTATCAATCAAAGTTTCCTAAGGATATATTTTAATATATGTAGAATTCAGAATGACATAGTTATGCAGCAATTAAATATTTTTTAAAAATGATTGTAAAAAGGAAGTAAAGAAGCTAAGACAATAGATTAAATAGGTTGTTATAATTAAATCTTTTCTACAAAACTGGCAGTTCTCTCCTCCTGGAAAAGGCCCAAATTCACTCAAGAGCCATATGATCTGCTTAGGTCAGTGATGGTGAACCTTTTAGAGACTGAGTGCCCAAACTGCAACCCAAAACCCACTTACACATTGTCAGGTGCCGGGTAGGTGTGGCCCATGGGCTGGGCGTGGCCCATTGGCTGGGCGTGGCTGTGATAGTAACAGCAGACTGGGTGGGACTAAAAAGTTGAATCAATCAATTCCAACTTTGCAAGATCTTTTTTTTTCCTGCAAGAAGTTGAAATTGACTGATCAATTGAACCTTTTCTCTTTTTTTTTGCATACATCGGTGGAAGCTTAAAGCAAAAAGGCTTTATAAAACCCAGCTGAAAGCCTAGGACTGGGGCGATGGTGTGCGTGCCCACAGAGAGGGCCCTGAGTGCTGCCTCTGGCACCCGTGCCATAGGTTCACCACCACTGGCTTAGGTAAAACTCACAGAATATTCATTGGGTTCAAAGGACCTGCTGTCCTCCCTCCTAGAAAAGTTTTCAAGTCCTGATTTCCACATCTAGTAATTGGGTAATATTTTCAATCTATCAAGGTGACATAAATAGAACTCTCAATCACATTAAAGATCATTTGTGGAAGAAACAGCAACATTTGTAGAGGGTAGAAATGAATGAGAAGTATTTTTGGCCAAAATCTGGTTCCCAATCTATAAAATAGGGACAAGTTAGATCTTCTCTGAATTGGTGTTTTTAAATAGTTGGAAGCCTATTGATTATATGGGTAAATTGCTGTGTGACATTTCACATTTTAATTTCAGTGTTAGTACAGTGAAACAATGCACATCTACAACTGTTTAAAAAAGCAGTGTGCAACTTTTATTTTTTGACCGAGTCCTGCACTTGGCTTTTTGTGGCATGTTGGAAATCACATTCCAAAAATTACATTAGGACAGGATAGAAAGTGGAAAGAGCCAAGGATAATACCTAAATTTGATTTAACATAATGTAAATGTAAGTAAAAGTACGTAACATAAATACTATGTACTGTGTAGTACTACATTGTCCCCATGTGTTAATTTTTCCCTCTATCAAAATAAAAAAATGACAATTTGTTTTAAGGGTTTCTGGGACTCACATCTGAGGATTGAGAGGTTCAATTGCAACCTTATGCTGGGGCCTCAAGTTTTGCATCTCTGTTTAAAGCATAATTGGCAAGATGCACACCATTAAAATGAAGAATGCAATGACTGGAGACTGATCTAAGATTTGGATGAGAGCCAGAGGCATTTAAGTCAGGCTGGACTTAAGTAACTGGATGAAGAAAACCATTTGTGATGGCAAAGGAAATGTCCTGAGGAGGAGGAGGAAGAGGAAGGTAGAAAAGAAAGAGGTAATGAGGCTCAGGTGATGGGATCATTGCCATGGTCCAAATTTTGCAGTGTGGTTAGACAAAAAGATACAGATGACAGCAAGCATCTATTTCATTTGTATCCTTTTTTGCATACCAATCTGTTTTCTGTTGAAAGCGAAAAATGTGAATTATAGCATTGGATTTTTTTTTTACCTGAAAAAACAGGATTATGTTCCATATCAGGCCCAGTACCATGGAGGAGTTTCCATCTGCTATTTCAGATGCATCAATGCTAACCAGCTTTACCTAAAGAAAAATAGTTTACATTTTTCAAAGTTATGTTTTCAAATAAATAAGTACATTTGTCAAATAACTGATGTTCAGTTGTGGAACTAGAGAATGTTTGTACCATATAAATTTCTCAATAAGACTAGATAATTTTTGGTCACATTGTGCTTTTTTACAGTGCAATAGCTACTGACTACTGTTTCTATCTATGTTTCTATATAAGCTGTGCTAGTTTACAATATACACAATCCACCTCTATCACACTAGTTGCCATAATCATAGATGTATTATTATAATTGCAAAATCCTTAAGGGCTCTCAGAAATGCAGAGATAAATATCTAAGAAACAATATATACATGGTGTCAAGATTCAAATGTTCTCCAGAAGAGCTCTATTTTCTAGTAGCTTCCAAAAGCCATGCAAGGTGGGAGCCAAACTAGATGCTCATTGGGAGGCCCTCCCAAATAACTAGACCAATCAATGAAAAGCAGCATTACTGAACTTTGCCCTCCTTTACCTTCCTAAAGTGTGGCAATACTGATAGTTATTCATGGGTTGATTAAACTGGTCAAATTGGAATGTGCAGTCCTGTAGATATCTAGACAAGCCATGTAGGGCTTTCTAGGTTAGGACTAGCACTTTAAATAGAAACCTGTGGGCAATGAATACAGAGCCCAGAAGACTAGTGTAATATGTTCCCTTCTGTTGAATACTGATCAGCACATGGACTGCTGCATGTTGAACCAATTGCAGCTTCTAAGTGAACTTTAAAGGCAGCCTTATGTAGAGCATGTACAGTACCCCAGGCAAGTTTTGTTGAGAACATGAATTGCTGTAGGTAAAACCACTCCATGTAGGGTTGCAACATGTGCATGATCTAAAGCTGGAGAAAGTCCTTTCTGGCCAGTCCTAGCTTTTTTAGCAGAAACCATGAGTCTAGAAGGATGCATAAGTCACAAAGCTGATCCTTCAGGTAAAATGCTGCTCTGTCCAGAGAGATTGTTGAAATGAACAAAGAATCCCAATGGACAAACAGTAATTCTATGTTAGTAGGAATCAATTTAAGCCCTTTCCCATCCAGACTATCATTCCTCTAGATCAGCGGTTCTCAATGTTTGTGTGATGGCGACCCCCGTCACACAAACGTTATGCGCATGCGCACCGCCGCCATGCGCGGTGCGCATGCGCGGCGCTGCCCCCGGAGGGGAGAAAATGGCGGATCGCTGCCTTTGGCGACCCCCGAAAAATGGTCGATCGACCCCAAATGGGGTCGCGACCCATAGGTTGAGAACCGCTGCTCTAGATAAACTAGATCACATATTCAATTCCCCAAGATATCTACATCTACGTTTACTGAGGCTGGCTATAATAACCGAATCTTGTAAGTCTGATTTTGCTGTACCTTCTCCTCCTTATGAGTCAGTGAATTAGGGAGATGGTTGTCTGAGCAGCTTCTAAACATTGTCTGGATATTCTGGGTTTAAGAATGTTCTAGCCCTTTTTATCTTGGAAATGAAGCCTGTATAACTCTATTAGGGTCATTTTCCTTATTTTCTACACAGAACCATGCAACCTCCAGACACTGAAACAGAACTTCCGCAGAATGTTCAGTCTAGCTTAGCAACTTCATGTAAGTATTAAATAGGAGGGGGAAGAGAACCAATTCTTGCATCATCCTACAAGGGAGTAGTCTCTAGTCAATTTCTCCTGCCCTTCACCCTCAAGTGGAATCATCCATCAAGGAAAGACCATAACAACTGCATATAGTGACTGCATTCCTCAATCCCTGCAGACAGTCCAGAAGGTTAATATGGTTGATGGCATCAAAAACTGCTGAAAAATCCAAAAAGGACAGGAATGGATGCACTTTGTCCATCTGAGTCCCAACAAAAATAATCTATGGCAGCTATTTAATAGTTATCTATTTAATAATAAAAACTACTGGTTTGCAGCTACAGATTACTCTTCAAAAATTACTATACTGCACAGAAATATACCTTTAAATATTTTTCCAACATTCTCTTATCTAAAACCTACTATTAATTTACATATGAAATGCTACTACATGATCACAAAGTATTCAGTTTACTATCAAAAAGTATAAAAATTAACATACTTTAGGATTCAGCATCCTTAGGAATAAATACATTATAAACTAAAAAGAAGCAATACTACATCAAAGCATATCTGCCAGTAGAACATGTTACTTATAGGTAGTCTTCAACTTATAACCACAATTAGGACCAGAATTTCCAGTGCTAAGGAAGGCAGTTTGTTCAGTGAGATGCACCTGATTTTACCTTTTGCCACAGTTATTAAGAAAATTGCTGCAGTTGACTGAATCGTGTAGTCATGAAGCTAATTTGTCTTCTTCCATTGACTTTGCTTGTCAGAAATCAGCTGGGAAGGTCATAAGTGGTGATCCCATGATCCTGGGATGTTGCAACCATAGTAAATAAATGACGGTTGCCAAGCACCCAAATTTTTGTCATGTGACCATAGGAACACTGCAACAGTTATAAGTGTGAAGACTAGTTGTAAATCACGTTTTTTTCAATGCCATTGTAACTTCAAACAATAGCAATAGCACTTAGACTTATATACCACTTCATAGTTCTTTACAGCCCTCTCTGAGCAGTTTACAGAGTCAGCCTGTTGCCCCCAACAATCTGGGTCCTCATTTTACTGACCTTGGAAGGATGGAAGGCTGAGTCCACCTTGAGCCGGTGAGGTTCGAACTCCTGGCAGTGAGTTGAATTAGCTTGCTATACTGCATTCTAACCACTACACCACCATGGCTCCACCAGTTGCTAAACAAATGGTTAACAGTCCAGGACTATCTATACTTGATTGTTTTTCCTTCATTCTGGAATTGGCCCTTCCCACTAGGGAAAAACTGAACACAACTAGACACAGGGAGAATTTTTTTCCCCTGTACCATCATTTTGCTAGATACCCAATTCTTACAGTGCTGTCTAATGTCTGTATGTATTTACCCGTGTGTATGGCTGTAGTATTATTTATAGGTTGCCTTTTATTGATATTATGAGTATTATTATTCTGTTGCTTTGCATGTACACTGAGAGTTTCTGTACCAGAGACAAATTCCTTCTGTGTGGCCAAATAAAGTATTCAATTCAATTCAGTTCAAAAGACTCTCCCTGTATCTAGTTGTCCTGGTACGCAATGTCCTGTAGCACTTTCCCGAGGGAAGGAGTTAAAACAGTTTATGTCCAGGATATGAGGAGTCTGCAGTCTGCAGGTCTCAGCCCTCCTTCTGACCTATGCAATATGTAGGACTTCTATGGAAAGCAGACAGGTTTGCAATTATTCTTTCTGCAGTCTTGATTATCCTTTGGAGTCCATACCTGCCCCGTTTGATAGCTGTACTAAACCAGACAATTATAAAAATACTAATAACAGACTCAATAAAATTAAAACTAAACAAATTTAATATTTTTTAATAAACAGCAAAAACAATAGTGATTAAAATTTTGATTTTTAGAAAGTTATAAATGGGCCAGGGATCCATATAAATTTGAAATAAGAGTTTTGAATTTATAAAAGTTCCTTCTGGTGGACTTTAAAAAAAATTTTTTTTTTAAATTGAACACTAGAGGAAGCTAGAGCAAACTGAAGATTACAATTAAAGGAGACGGGCACATAAATTCAACTTACAATTACAGAATGAAGCAAAATATTCTAACACTGGACATATTGAAGGATATCTTTGAACAATGGAATGAGAAGTTAATCTTAACAGTGTCAATAGAGACATCTGCCTCTATGGAGTAATTGTGTCTAAAAGTTATGGAAGAGGAATAAGTTCTACTTGAAAAGACTAAGTCTGAGTTGAACATGGATTTATAAATTACAGGCTACAAGAATTACATGGAAAAAGTTGCTACACTGGACATATAAAAGAAACAGGCTGCTGTGTTAATAATTAAAATGGATATACAAACCATAAAGTAAGAGAATGACTTGTATAATTTTCCTATATTGGATTTACCAAAGAAGCTTGTTAAAGTTCTGAAGAATCTTGTGAAATGGAAGAGTAAAAATGAAAAGAAATCAGGTTTTACAAAAAATTATTTAAGTGAACTAAAAATTAAGATAACGGAAGTAAAAAAGAAGGAATTTAAGTTGGTTTATTTGGTCAAGGATAAAACAGATATGTTGTTATCTCTGAAAACACTTAATGGCCTTTTGATGACACTAATATTGAAATGATGTCTTATAAATAAAAGATGGGCTATGGGAAAAATCATTTGTTGTATTTAAGAAAAGGTGTTAAGTTATTAAAATTGTTAATACTTGTGATGAAGGTAGGAAGTAACTTTTTATATATTTTTCTTTTTATTTATTTTTAATTTTCTATTTCTATTTTTCTTTTTTCCTTTTTTATTTCTTTTCTGCACCTTCTACTTCATTTTTACTAAATTTTATTTTAGATTGTATTAGTTTTTATTCTTGTAATTATAATCTTTAATAAAATTATTATTGAAAAACCAATATCCTGCTTGCCAATTTATTGGACAATTTGCTTTTCTACTGGTTAGAAGTATGTCAAATTCATTGGTTTCATTAAATATCTCATGTTTCAATGTTCTCACTTTTTTTTACTGTATATTTATATATAGATCAATTTATATTTATATATAGATCAATTTCAATCTTAATTCATGAAAACAGCCCAGAGCATGGTGTTTAAAATCTCACTCCCTATCCCTTTTGACACAAATTCTGTGATTAAAATGTACAGTAGCTACATTCATTATTTCAAGCACAAACATGGATAAACATCTTCTGATGTTGAATTTGGACAGAAGCCTGCTCCATATTGGTCAAACTGAATGGATGCCAAAGTACACACTATTGTCCTGTAATTCCCTCCCAACTCACCATTACCAACTGCAGCCAATGATGCAGCCAAACACTAGAGAACAACATGATATCAAGCTACATCAACTAGAGGATCCAAAGGATGCACTAAAATATGTCTTTGTTGTGCATT